AATCAGGGGATATAACAGAAAACGTGCAGAAGACGATGCAAAAACACAATATCAACACACCAGTGAAACTGTACAGAAAACTCAGACAACTACTCGTCCCCCCGAAAGACAAAATAGAAACAGAGCATAAATGTAATGTCATATACAAAATACCCTGCATGTCCTGTAGGGCTGGGTATCATTAAGAAATTGACGATACGATACATATCTCGATATATTCCACTTTCAATTCAGTACGATATATTTCAAATCAATTCAATACAGTTTAATAAAAAATAATGGCTAAATCGTGGCTGTGATACTAAAAGTCTTTGTTAAACGACTTCTTGTGCAAAGTTAACAGGAAACAGTAATTTTAGTCATCAAAACCCTGAAAATGTCAAATGTGTTGCATGAACAAATTTACTTTCTCTAAACAAGCAACAAAACTGTAGCACTGTAACAAGATAATGTAGTAAAATATACCAAAAAAATACTCTTGGCGATATATCGATACAGCAGCCCACAGTATCGATACTGTATCATCACATTAAACGATACGATATATCGATATTTCAATATTTTTGCACACCCCTAATGTCCTGCAATAAAACATACATCGGGGAAACAGGGAGGGCGTTCAGTACACGAAAAAAGGAACATAGAACAGAATGCGAGAAGGAAACAGCGAAGGCGAAACACGAGCAACAAAACACAAAGCAGAACAGGAAGCAACTCAAATCGGCCATTTCTGACCATTGTAAAAGAGAGAACCACATTATGGACTGGGATGGAGCAAACATCTTTGGGACAGAGGAAAACAAACACCGTCGCTGGATTAAAGAGGCAATCGAAATACGGAAACGTGCCTACAGGACTATAAACCGGGACGAGGGGCTTTTTTACTCTCACACACCTGGGATACTGTCCTGAGGAAGTCGGACTGCAGATGGCGCTGTCGTCCTGCCTCCACCGGTAGGAAGACAGTGTAACCCTAATATATCGTTGTTCCCAGTCTCTTAAGGCTGTGGGTATGTCAGGTTACACTTAGATGTTATAATTGTAGGTTCTTGTAGTTTTCCTTGCTACAAAAAACCAACACGGCAGGACAGTGTACAATATGCTTTATTGAGCAACACCTCTCTCTACTCTTTTGCGCCCCTGTGCGTGTTCTCTTCTATCCACCCCGGTGCGCTGCCCAAACACGCTCCACTGAAACAACTAAACAACATAACAGAACCCAACACAATGCAACAATGAAATGTTAATAAAATAAATGCAAAATAATATTAATTAATTATCCAAACAATATATAAAATAATAATCACACAAATTTATATTAATAAATAAAATAATATGCATCAAAATAAATCAAAGGTTACAACAGCACCAAAACCTGTTAAATCAGCTGAACAGACATGTCACAGCAACATCACGTGACCACTCTGAGGAAGACCGCTAGTGAGCAGTCGAAACTGTCAGGTACGAAACAAAACTCTAGGTCTGAAAAAAGAACCTAATAACATAAAATAAAAAGTGACACTGTAGATAACGGGGGAATCACGGAGGGAATGCCAGTTTGAACAGGTGAGTTTTTAGAAGCGATTTGAAGTGCTGCAGTGAGTTCCTGTTGGATTGTGGGAGTGAGTTCCAAGGTCCGGTGCTTTGTCCTGATGAGGGGAATGAGGAGGTTGGTGTTGGGCTGATCTGAGGCAGGGGGAGGGACAGCGCAGACAGAGGAGGTCAGAGAGATGGAGAGGGGTCAGGTTATGGCGGGACTTGTAGGTGAAGAGGAGGACCTTGTATTGGATGCGGGAAGCCAGTGGAGTTGCTTAAGGACAGGAGTGATGTGGTCTCTGGAGCGGGTGTGGGTGAGGAGGTGGGCGGGCAGCAGAGATTAATAATAAAGGATTTCTCAAACATGTGTAAATGAAACAAAACACAACTCTGGGTATGTTTTTGATAGGCTTACAAGAGTCAAATTTGTGTAATATATGTTAATGATTCTCTTATAATGTAGAATTGCAGTAATTTATTGCCCTAAAATTAGTTTTGACAATTAATTTTGTTGCAATCTTTGAAGGTAAGACTAAAATGTAAATGTATAGCAGGTCTTTATATAGATAACTGCATGGATGTTTTTACTAAAGGACAATATTATGCTATTTATGATCTATACTATAATGCTGTTTCCTCATAGCAATCATACCTGGAGATGCGTTTTTTATCATTCACATATGATTGCTCAAATAAAAAGTGACACTGTAGATAACGGGGGAATTGTGGAGGGAATGCCAGTTTGAACAGGTGAGTTTTTAGAAGTGACTTGCTTCACTGCTGCTGTAATGGCTAATGTAATGTAGTTATACTAGTTATAATAGGCAATTTAATAAGTAAGTTGGGTTTTGCATTGTGAAACATTTTACTCTTTTTTTTCTCCTCTGTTTTCCTGCACAAAAAACAAAAATAATGCAAGTAATTAAAAATTGTAGTACAGACGTCTTGTACAGTCACTAACCAATACTGCTTATTACACAACTTTTTTTAACTCAGTATCACAAAGTTTATACTATAGTGTTACGGCTCGCGGCTTGTCTCCAGCTCCGCATCATCTGGCGCTCCCCGTTTGTTTTACCATGTGTATCTTCCATATTTGCATGTCCTGTGTGGTACCTGTCATCTGATTGGTGGGGTGTGGTTCCGTCGCTGTGAGCTGGTTCCGACGTCCGTTGTGCTGTGGTTGGAGGCCAATATGTTACAACCCAGTGCTAGGGACAAAGAAAAGTAACACAAACCAGATATGATGTAAAGTAAATGGCTTTTATAAAGTGAACGTAGGTAAGTACAATTACAAAAAAATTGATAAATCAGAATTTCCAAAGGTAACTAAACAACTCCTAAAATGGGGTAGGTTAACCCTCTCCAGGCAGACGTTGCAGATTTGCAACAACTAAATGCCAATTACCTTCTTAGTCCAAATCCATATTTTAGGATCCATACTTTTTTTTTACTCAGGAGCCTTATTTCCCATCCATGCTGATAAACGTGGACGATGCAGACTGTGCAAGAATGGCTGCACGCAAACGGCCTGCCAGAAGTGCAAAGTACTTTTGTTGTTTACAAAAGATAAAAAAAATGTTCTTGGAGTACCACACGAAAAAGTGATGTTGTTCTGCCACTGTAAAGCTGTTACACTGTGCTTTAATGTTTTCATTGTTATGAAAAGTGGTATACACATAAAGTTAGCGTTCATATCATTTTCAGTCTTCAGTGTTAATTCACCTGACCAATTCTGCAAATCTGCAACATCCTAGATTGCATTGGATGTGAAGGTCTCTCAAAAAAAAAAGTCAGGATTGTACATTACTACCCCATATGATAATTTTCCCCAAATATCAGATTTTTTCCTGTTAGTAAAATTTAATTTGAGCCTGAGAGGGTTAACATCAAACAAGAAGCAACTGCCCAAGGGCCGAGCCAAACTGGCAATACTAACAAAAAATATAGGTTGATAACGACCCCTACAGTCCGAATAAACACACACACTTTACAATAACAAATGGAAGGCAACTAGCAAACGTCTGTCAGTGAGAGTGACCAACTGAAACTGTCATCCAGTCGCCAGGAGGGACAGGCGCACTGCACTTTTATTGGTTGAGGTGATGGATGTGTAGGAAGGGATCGGAGGAACGGGACGTCAATCCTCCAACTACAGCACAACGGACGTCGGAACCAACTCACAGCGACGGAACCACGCCCCGCAGATGGCAGGTACCACACAGGACATGCAAATATGGAAGATACAGTAATGGAAGAGCTGGAGACAGGCTGTGAGCCGTAACATATAGGTTTATCAGACCCAGTTTAAACCCAGTTGAGTGATTTGTTTTGAGGATTCCCATCTATAGGCCTGCTGCTGGTGCGTTACTAATTGGGGCATATCCGTGGTTATTCCAGGTTATTAATACATCTTTCACTCTATGGTCTGTGCCTTGACAGATCCATGAGTTGTCCTCCAACACACACAAGCAGAGAAAATATAAGCAGGGTTTTCTTTGTAAGTAGATTCCCTTCAGAGAGCCGAGGTTAGGTCTCTCACACAGATGTGGCAGGACACTAGAGCTCTGACTTCAAATACAGCATGTGCACAGTGTCAATGAGACTCAGGGCAGCCAGGAAAGATGGACTGTAACATATTTTTCACTTTCAATATGATAAGCGATACTGATATCAGAGTTTACATGACATTTACTTCACAGTTTTTTTCAACCCATCACCAAACTTGAGCCAAAGATGTTCATTTTGTCTTCTTATGTACTTTAACTTCTTAGGTTCTTTTTAACCTCTTAGAATTCCAGGCCATTTTTGTGAAATCACTCTTGTTCTGACCTCTCCAAACTAAAATGATTGCCATGAGTGAACCCTCAGTTGCATATACACAAGTTTGGGTTTTTTTGTAAGGTAACACCCAATAGTTTCACCCACAGGTGTAAGAATCACTCTAAGTATGTCTGGTAGGTATTTATACACTTTGGCACACACCTAAAAAATTATTTTTCTCATCCTCGCCCAAATTTTTTTGTTAAAATTAAGGTGTAGAAAGCTGCAGTAGGTAGCTGGGGACTGAAACACTCTATATTTCTATTGAAAACCATGTTGACCTCTTACATTTCAAATTTGATGAGAATATCTATAAAAATGAGGATTTTAGACTACTTTTATTGCTAGTATATTTAGGCGTTTTCCAGAGGGACTTTTGCTTTATCCAAATTTATCCAAACCTATCCAAACCTATCCAAATGGAGACATTTGGAGAACGTTTGGAAAAAATGCAATAACTTTTGAATGCTTCAACCCACAGACATCAATGAGGGCTCTACTGAAAGCTCACACTTAGAGGAATCTTTATCTACACACCAAGCTGCTCTATTCCTTATGAAAATATATATAGCATATCAAAACACAATATAAAATGTATATTTATATATAAAATATAGTCAAAACAAGTGTTATGGGTCAAAATAAATGTATATTTACAAATGTATATAACAATGCAAACTGTAAACAAACACATTTCAAACTGTAAACAAACACACTTCAAACCGTAAACAAACACAATTCAAACTGTAAACACACACACACACTGCAAACTGTAAAAACACTTTTTTCTATTGTCCTTGTTCTTTGTGCCAGTCATTATAACAGTCCCTTTGTGGCTGGAAACACAGGGGCACGTCACAGGTTGAACATTTTACAGCCGTTTTCGCATGGCACTTCCTGCATTTCAGTCTTCCTTGGGTCTTGTCACCACTTGCGACGATGTGCACAAGACGATGATGTGTCTCTTTCCTACTCTCCTCCTCCCGCTCTGTACTGATGGCTCCTGCCTCTGCCAGCTCCAATACAAGGGTTTCTCTAAATGCCTTTTGGTGCATTGGGATTTTAGCCTTTAACGTGCACTGTCCTTTATAAAGGATAAAGGCATTCACCACAGCAATGTCCACAAAATGATAAAAAAAAGTCTTGTACCATTTTTTGGTTTTGTGTAAAACCTCATAATATCCGATCAATGCATCGGATAGGTCAACGCCTCCCATGTGCCTAAGGAAAAACACAAATACGTTAGCAACAAGCAAGTACAAAACTGAGAGGGGATGAAGCAATATTATATCATATACATACCTGTTATAGTCCTTGATGGCTGGTGGAACTGGCACATCTTTCATAGTCCAACAGCCTGTGTCATCCTTTACCCGGCGCTCCACTGTCTCCTCTCCATGGGCAGTGTGCATGGTGGAGCAGATGAATACATCACGGGTGTCTTTCCATTGGACAAAGAGCAAGGGGTCCTCACGAATCCACCTTATACTGCCACGGGGAGCTCTGGAGTCCAGCGTATTTTCTGTTGTCCTGGGGTATCCTTGTCTATTAGTTCTTATTGTGCCACAGGCTGACACTTTTTTTTTCAGAAGGTCACGGAATAGAATAGGGCTAGTGTAAAAATTGTCTACATAGAGTTTATAGCCTGTGCCCAGTAGAGATGTGTCCAAAAGGGTCATAACAGAGTCATAGCTCAGCCCGTTCTTGCTGGCCTGAGAGCTTTTGCCCTCATAAACAAAGAAGTCCCATGTGTAGCCTGATTTTGAGTCTGCCAAAACAAATAACTTGTAGCCCCACCTTACAGGTTTGCTTTTTAAGTATTGTTTGAAGCTCACTCTTGCCTTTGATGCCACCATCCTTTCATCAATGGCGATATGCTGACCAGGTTGGTAATTCTGGCGGCATGCATCTCTTATCTCAGTATACAGTGGTTTGATCTTGCCCAAGCGGTCAAACTCTTCAGTGCCTCTTTTTCCTTCATTTTTGGCATCTTCTTCTGGACTACTCAAGTGGAGAGCACGGATAATAGAAAAGAATTTCTTTCCGGTCATAACTGATTTAGGGAATGGTAGGCTGTACAACTTTCCTCTTCTCCAGTAATCAGTAAGTGAAGGTACTTTTGCGAATCCCATGTATATAACAAGTGCCAAAAAAGAGAAAATGTCTTGAAGCGCAATGTCCGTCCATGCTCTGTATGCTGATTGGCCATGCATATTTGTGTTTCTGATAAGTGTCGATAACACAGTACCAGTAAAAAAACAGCTGGAACAGTTCCAGACATGTGTAGTCAGATGTGCTAATGAGTTGAGGTCCAGGAGTACGTGTAGGACAAAAGGGAAGGGGGGTAGGTGTGAAATCCGCCACTTCTGTATTGTTCCAACGTCCTGTGGAAGGTGAAGATGGTCTTGCACCTCTGCCTCTGCCTCTGCCCCTCCTCCGTCCTCTGCCTCTTTTTGCTGTTTTCTCAACCCGGGGAATCTTTGAGGAAGGGCCCGGCTCTGGTTCGGCTGCAGGCACTGAAGTCAGTCTAAAATGAAAACAACAAAAACATATTATAATACTATAAATGATTTGTAAACAGTAAATGCTACTATACAGATTGCTCTACAGACTATTATTCTACTACTGTATAATATTCAACCACTACTTACACTTGCCTCCCTCCCCCACAAACATTCACACCATATTTACACCTTGCAACTAACTTCATTCCAACATTGTATACACCTAAAATAGTCTCATACTGTAACAAATGCACTCAAAATACATTGCATTTATTGATCAAATAAAGTAACTTACTCAGGGTCATCAATTTCCACATGCACCTCAGCCAAAACTTCAGTGTCTGGTTCCCAATCAGGGTCAGAGTCATTTTGCCTGTAAAAGAAAGAATAGTGTTTATTTGCCACTATGTATGCCATATTATAAGATGCTGCAACTTATTGTTTCACCATTTATTATGTGTATACTTGTTTTACTCTGGGCCTACATGCCCTTATCTACAGTAATTAGAGATTAGAAGTCTGATCCAAAAAACTAACTAAAAGTGCGCCTCCCCAGTGTGCACGGTGTACATAAATGCTGTTTAGGTATCTGATATTTTATTACATTTTACAATATTTTACATTTTATATTTATAGCGGGGAAAATAAATACACTTACCGATCCAAAATGGCATCCAATCCCTCAAAAAACATTTCTTCTTCCACTGAGTCCACCGCGGACACATCGCTCTCCGGTTCCGACAGCTCCTGGTCCGAGGTGTCACTCAGCCTTCTCGTACATATTTCCGCAGCTTCCAAGGCTGAAAACCGCGTCTTCTCTGTTCGTTTAGCCATAACTTTGAAACAAAGGCAGAGCACCAACACGCACGGAGTATGTACTGTACTATACTACTGTACTATACTGTACTGATGTACTGTGTACAGTAAACACCTCAAACTGTATATATAAACTCTTTTTTTAACTGCCCATTGGCTATTAGGTAAAGCGTCACTAGTGCGTAACGCGTAACCATTGGCTGCGTAAAAGACGCACGCTTTACGCACACAGTCTGTTTGCGTTTGTGCCGGCGGTTACGCATCATCCAAGCGGCGCAGGTATACAGAAAACCATGGCTTGTGATATGTCATTGTGTTCATTGGCTCGTTGACTGTAAGGGAAAATATCACTCCGCGCCTGTAATCAAGTTTGGGTGATTGTGCACGAGGGGAAGTGGGGAGTAAACTTTCTGAGTTCTGTACCACTGATTGGCGATGTGGGGCTTTAGTAACCGAAAACTTGCACTCTATTGGCTGACCAAAGTGCCAATTAAATGCTAACTCTTTCGTTTAGCATAGACAGTAGCGTTATTGTGCTCAGTAAATATCTTAGCCCTGAAATCGCCAGAAGAAATGCAAAAAAAAAGTGACGGCTCACTTTTCACGTTTGGAATACTTTGGAATACTTTCCGGCATAGAGGAACTAATTCATTTTGTGGACATATTTTCTTCACTGGATTATATTCTCTGGACCTGTACGGACCAAATGAGACCAACTTTCTGGGGATATGTGGATGTTTGACAGAATGAGAGCCCTCAAAAGGTAAGAACAGTCCAAATCCTTTGCACGTGCTTTTCTGTAAAACGGCTGTCTTGTCAGTGCTGTTGTGGTTACTGTGGAAAATGATTTGGATATTCAAAAAGACGATACTCGTAGCTTTAATTTGATGTGTATATTGTTAGTGTGGACGACGGAGATTCATATGCAAATTGCTGTAGCGTTGTAAATTAAGGGCGACGGCCCGCCGGCGGGCCGTCAGATCCTTATCAGGTTTAAAGACAATACAGTAAAGTGTGTTTACCTTGTTGACATGCTTCGGCTGCGGGCTGCAAGCCATCTTCAGAACTGTCCCCGGTGTTGGTGGTGACATGTTGTATATCAGTTGTTGTTACTTCCTGTAGGCGTTAGGGCTGGGTATCATTATGAAGTTGCCAATACGATACATATCTCGATACAGTGAGCTTTCGATTCAATATGATATATTTCAAATCGATTCAATACAGTTCAATAAAAATAAAGACTAAATCATGGCTGTGATACTAAAAGTCTTTGTTAAACCACTTTTTGTGCAAAGTTCATATGAAACACAAACATTTTATTCATCAAAACAGTGAAAATGTCAAATGTGTCGCATAAAAATGTTTCCTTCCTCTAAACAAGCAACAAAACTGTAGCACTGTAACAAAATAATATAGTAACATATACCAAAAAGTACTCTTGGTGATATATCGATACAGCAGCCCACAAAATCGATACTGTATCATCACATTAAGCGATACGATATATCGATATTTCAATATTTTTGCACTCCCCTAGTAGGCGTGGTCAGCCTAATGGACATGGCAGGTCGCTCAGACTGACCACGCCTCCCGTCGCCCGGTGTTCTCTCGAGGAGGGTGTTCCAGGTGTGTTAAAGGAGGAACGCCCCGTCACGATTAATCACAGTTAGGAGCGTTCATCATCAGTACATCACCAAACTTATCAGCACCCTATGGTTAAAGTTGAGAAAAGAAGGTTATTCTTGTGTTGTTCAGAACCAACTAACGTCTCTCATTTCTTACTAAAGAAGACATACTGTATAATGCTTTTCTCTGGTATTTCACATTAAACCTCCTTGTCAAAGCTTGATCTCATCAGACCTCACAAGTTTAGCAAGGCTGGATCTGGTTAGTACTTGGACGGGAGGCAGCTGGGAATATGAGGTGCCACAGTCCTTAGGCAAGGCACTTGTTTAATATAAAAGTGGTGTGTGCGTGACTATCAACGTCGCTTCTGTCAGTCTGTCCCAGGGCAGCTAAGGCTACAATAAAAGGCTACACCACCAAGTGAGTAGTGAATGATTAATGCACAAAACTGTGAAATGACTTTGAGTACCTGGAAAAACGCTAAATACGCAATGACTGACATTATTTCACAATTTCTTAACTGTAAATGTCAGTATTTATCAAAAATAGCCTAATATTCATCTTGTTCAAATGTGTAGAGTTGAGAGGTCCCTTCTTTTCATGTTGGTATTTCACAGTAGCAAGCAACGGATTTTCATTAATAATTTTCTTGTTGTTGATTTATTTATTTTTTTTATTATTGCAAATAAGTACAGAAAGAGAGAAAGAGGGTTGGTGAAAACAGAAATGATTGTCTCAAATGCTGGACAATACAGGATTGTTCAAACATGCATCAATGGAAGAACTCTGAGTATGTTTTGGTGAGGGAACGCTGATATAACAAGATCAAACTCATTAAAGTTGTTTCCACAATATGTCCCCTTCACCTGTTCATACATAAGAGCTCCACACGGTTTCTCAACCCCAAACCTTTACTCCACAGCTAAAAAAACTCTCATTAGCCCACTGGACAAAACGCTATCAAAACCTATTTTCACAGTTAGAAGACCATTCCATTTCTTTTGTTATGTCACACTTGGGGTTATATGCTTCAGCGCTATATGAACATGAAGTCAATAAATGTCATGAGAAATTTGGGAACCGGTCCAATTGAGCTGACGATCTCCAGGGCTGCGTTCATGGGTAATTGGTCGCACAGAGGAGGAATGACCTGACGTTTATACTGGGAGTTAGGGGACCTTGGAGACAGCCTTGATCCCCAGCCCAGTGGTTTCGTACAGACCCTGTGCTTGGACTTGGACCCCCGGGAGAGGACTGAGATGTGGTGGTGTTGGAGCGATGACAGCGCATAAGCTTACATGGCACAACTGTGAAAATGTTGCTTTCATTAATGCACTGACATTTTAAGATATAATGAAAAATGCTGTTTAATTTTCAGATGATTGTGAGAAATATGTGAGCTATTCCAGATGGATGATTTACTATGGTACGAGTAAAAATATATACATTTGTTGAGGTTTCTTGAGGAAAAAAGTGTCATTAAGGCCCTATAAAGTAAGTTGGAAAAAGACATTAATATTGCAGAGCACATATGTTTAGTTCAGTCTTTATTTGAAGGGACAGTGTACAGAGACATTAAGATCCATCCCAGATTATAGTTTAAAAGGCCCATAGAACACTTTTTTTTGATCTATGTTATAATGTTGTTTCCTCATCACAACCATACCTGGAGTTAGGTTTTGTTTCATTCACACTACGGCCCAATCGATATATCAGTGGGCCGATATGGGCACTTGGAGACATATCGGCTATCGGCCTAAATCTTGCCGATATGGACCGATAGTTCACGTGGGCATGTAATACCTGATTTTAACGCTTAGACTCTCTATATTATGTCAATTTAATCCAATTTACAGACAGATAATTGTGCTAATGTACGGCACTGTATTAGTATTTATCTGCGAGTAATTTGTCTGTGTGTGTGATGACGTACTGCCCCTGAACGCACCCCCAGAGTCACGTCACTCACGCTGCTTGTGTACACACTCGGCTGCTGTCAACATGCTGGATTATATCATATTTATTGACGGTGGTTTTGAATCAGGATTAAAAGGACACTTATTTGTGAAGATTTGTGATCTGAGAGGAGCCTGTGTGGGTGGTAATTGTCACAAGTGTTGTAAGTGTCTGTTTTTGAAGGTACTTTTGGTTCTTTCTCATTGGTTAGGGTTTAGTTGCTGTAGCTCCCACACATAAACAGCGTGTTTTCTCTGACATTGATCTAGTGTAAAGTGACTATAGCGGCTGTAGACATGTTTCTGGACCTGAATTAATATGTAAATGAGCTGTGAATAGAGGTGTGAATGATCGGAATTTATGCATAATTAACGCATTTATCGCTAAAGACTGATATCGGTAGTTTACTTACTTTCTTTACTGGCTGGAACATCATGCAAAAATGCCATTAGGCCGACCTACTGTCTTTAAATATGACATAAAGATGCAGAAAAGCAATAAATGTAGCCTAAATAAATTTTTAATCCAGTAGAGCCTGATCGAAGTTTTATAATCTATTGAAGATTTACAGTGAATTTTTACAACACTAAATATCTCGGCTTTTATATCGACTATTGGCACCTCCATCTCCGACTGCAAAAAAATTGGTTGGGGCCTAATTCACACATGCTTACCACACAAATCCTGCATATTTAAGATGAGTTCTTCTCTCAAATGGAAATCACTCTGTTGCCCCTTTTGATGTCATATGGTAATACAGGAAGTGCTCTGCTGTGTTGTTTAACTCCATGCACCTTCACTAGAATCAGTGGATGATTTCAGTCCTGGAATTGCCAATCTCTACTGAACTAAAGGTAAAAGGTACTTGTTGACTTGAAAACTCGGGGTAATAATGGACTCAGACTTGAACATTAACAGCCACATCAAATCAATAACATCTGCAGCCTTTTACCATCTAGAAAACATAGCAAAAATCAAAGGTTTACTGTCTAAATCAGACTTGGAGAAACTTATCCATGCGTTTGTCTCCAGTAGGTTAGACTACTGTAATGGTCTGCTCACTGGTCTCTCCAAACGAGCTGTGAGACGCTGCAGAACATCCAGAATGCTGCAGCTCGGGTCCTTACTCGAACTAGGAAGTACGAGCACATAAGTCCTGTGCTCAGGTCTCTGCACTGGCTTCCTGTGCCTCAGAGAATAGACTTTAAAACAGCTCTGCTTGTGTACAAGTCTCTCCATGGCCGAGCACCAAAGTACATCTGTGACATGTTAGTGTCATATGAACCATCTCGCACTCTGAGGAGCTCAGGGACCGGCCTCCTGCTGGTGCCCAGAGTCAGGACTAAACAAGGGGAGTCAGAGTTTCAGGTTCATGCAGCTAAAACCTGGAACAGTCTTCCTGAACATGTGAGACAGACTCTTCTGTGACGCTGTTTAAATCCAGGCTCAAAACATTTCTGTTTAACTGTGCATAACTGAAAGGTTTTCATTCCGCACTC